GGCCGGCGGGCGGCGGCGCGAGCGAGGACGGCGCCCTGCGCGATCTCCGGAGTACAGGGGCGCGGGGTGTCTGGCGGGAGGGCTTAGCGCTTCAGAGTTCGCTTGGAGCTGGCCAGACCGGAGTTGTTCCCTGAGCTTAGGGTCGTGCAGGTCACCATCGGCAAAGATTTTTTCCCCCACTTTTATATAAACACATTTCGAAAAGCTGATCATCAGCTAATAACAATTAAGGTGTCTTTCTTGTTTATGCCGTTCTGTTTTAAAGTAAGAAATGTTTAATCCTTTGCCAAAAACTCTTGCTGGTGATTTTGAGAATAGCATGGTTTTAGGAAAGGGATTATCAGTAATGTTTTTGTCTGCTTCTTGCTGGAAGCTTTTGAGGAGTATACATTTCCTCCAAAAGCTCAAGCCCGGTGTAGCAGTGGAGTGCGCTTCACAGAGTTCTTGAACTTCTGAAGAAGTTTTATATTTCACTTCCCTTCAGACAGCTTCAAAGATTGCAGCTCCAGGCTGCCCTGCCTCACAGTAGCCTGCGGTGATTAATTTCAACCCAGAGCAAGGGAAGTTCTGTGGGGTTGCGCTCAACTTCCAATTGACCGTTGATGAACTCATACAGGACTGAGTATGTAGAAATTAAATCACCTCTCCACGGTATTTTGAGATAGGTTTTAAGAACGGAGAAGGGTAATTTAAAAATTAAACTATCTTGGTATGTTGTGAAAAATTTTAGAAAGTCAATTCATAATTCAGTGCATAGGTCAAAAAAATAGCTGAATTAAAACAATATACATTCAGTTGAAGAATTCACTGTGTGATTTGTGAAGTAATTTTCTACATAGACACTGCACGATAACTGTAGTGATGAGGATATCTTTCTGTCCCTAAATACCATAAGCTTGTAGCGTTGGACCCACTGTGACTTCCTATGATGGGGGTCTAATTTTGTCACACCTGTTGACTTTCTGTTACTTCAAAAGAGTGTGACTTTCTGAGGTAACACTCTCTATTGCCTAGGGTAACTTGGTTTGATTTACAACAAGAAAACGGAGAGCATCAAGTAAAACGAGAAGAGAAACGCTTCTTGATTAGCCAGTGTCTCATATGAGAGTCACTCACAGCTGGAACTGTCCCAGATGAACGTGACTCTGTGTGTGTGTGTGTGTGTGTGTGTGTGTGTGTGTGTGTGTGATATGTAATCTGTAGGCCTTGAATTAGGAAATTAGTTTATTCACATTTTCAAAGTTTTCTTCATTGGTGATGTAATCACATTTTCCCTTTGCTGGAAATTACATCTATGAATTTTTGTTTTCAAATGTTGCTTTTCATGTTTTTTATATTTTATAAGTTGAATATGGATTGATAGTCTACATATGATACGGGTTTCCTTCCTACACAATGGATAGTATCTTCAATCTCTTCAGTTCTGTAGACTAGGGCACAGTATTATTGCTGTCTTTTACGGTTTCCCAATGGTTAAATACAACCTTGACGGGTTTTTAATGCTTCAGTGAAAGCACTATATCCTTCAGTGAAACTTGGCTCGCAGTTCATCCAAAGACTGATCCTAAGACTCCATGTCTCTCCCTAGTGGCCTGTAAAAGCACATCATTTTGATGTAAGCCCTAGAGCACTGTGGACTTACCAGTTGTTAATTTTCCACGAACAGCACAAGCCCCAAGAAGATATATGAGAAGGAAATAGAAGATGCTGAGTATGCAGAATCCCCATAGATGAAATTTTTTGGCAATTAACACGTTGGTAGTATTATTTATAAACCTTTAACAAGCAGAGGCTATGACCAGTGTGAACCATCCAGTCCTACCTGTGCCCTCCAAAGCCATATAAAAAGTTGGAAGGGAAAGCCAAAGGCCTGAAAATTTTCTCGTTCCTTGACTTACTTGCACTTCCATTTAGTAGATTCCCCTTTGTAATTATTGGTGGCTGTGTGATTTAATGAGAAGTCCTGAAATGTTTCTCTAAAGGATGTTAATACAAACAAGTCAGTGTCAATAAAGTACAGCAAAGTAAAATTAAGAGGACACCATAGGGAAAAGAGGAAATATTTCAGTTGCTGTCTACCTAAAAAAAACTGCAAAACTTAGAAAAACACTAAGTTGCTAAATATAGTAATTTGAATATGAGTTTAAGTAGAGTTCACTGTGGTTAGTTGGAGTTAAGATTAATTTTAAAGGAGAAGTTGGTTTACGATTTAACAGCGGAAAGAATTACTTTATATGACATACATTTACGGAAATTTCATTCTAAAAAGTGAGTTAACTGGGAATGTAGATGTTTAGGTCCTTATATATTTTAGCTTCAAAATTCCCTACAACTTTTTAGTTTTTAAAGTTCTTTGTAAACTGAGACCAACCAAATCTGTGGGCTTGGGCCTAAAAATATACATTTAAACAAGCATCCTAGGTCCTTTACATACACAATAGAAGTACTAAATGCAATGATGAATGATGGGCATTGTTGGTTTTATCATTTTCATTATATAGCTGTTGAGTCTGCAAAGCAGTTTACTGTGTATGGGTCATCTTAAAAGGTATATGCTCCTTTTCAAGGTGTTTACTACTCAGGTGAAAAGATAAAGGCTTAGGGTCAAAACTAGTATGAGATATCATTGCTCCGTTGTTAGGAAGTTAATACCAGGGCTTTGTCTGTGTTCTGAAGTTTGAGGGAGACACACATCAGTGTGGTCTCATGAATCTGGGAAGCAAAGCTTCAGTTGTAAATTAGATGAGAATCCAGCAGATGAACTCATCAAAACCATAAGCCCCTCAGGTTTTTGGAAAGGATAAGAAGATGCGGAAGCAAGTAGAACAGTTTAACTGCCAAGGGGTTAGATAAGGTAACAGTGATGACTCTTAAGTAAGAATAAGTGTAGGGAGATAGTTGAGGTTGTCCTGATTACAGCCTAAAGCAAAGGGTTTAAACTTCGTGCTATGGGTGTGAAGGTTATTAGTGTTGTGAGGAGTGGAATGATACAGATAGTAAGGAGACTATTAAACTTACTATGGAAGTGTTTAGAAGTCAGAAAGAAGAACTTACTGGAGAGAGGGTCAAGTTGAGAAGGAACAGAAATCATATAGATGGGAAGTGATGAATAGTTCTAGCAGAGTGGTGACAGGGGGAGTAGACAAGGAACGGTCACAGGGAAACAGCCCATGGATGATGAATTAATCAGATAGTTAAGGAAGGAGGAGAAATCTACCCTGGCCTCTGTGTTTTAATAATAATAAAAGGTTAGTTCACTTTGTAGGATTAGGGTGTTTCAGAGAAGGAACTGGCATTCATGGTCAGAGAGTGGATGATGCAGCACCAATCCATAGGTCACCCTGAGATTTTACCAGACATAGGACATTGTTGGAGAAGCAAAGTAAGCTTTACAGTTTACATTCCATTGAAGGGAAATAATTGTCTAGGATCAGCAGTACTTAAACTATGTGATACAGTTGCAGCATATGAGCGTTTGATAGGTGTTACTACAATCCCTTTGGGAAAATTGGAAGTGTGCGTGTCCTGTTATCCTGCACTAAAAATGAAATGGTAAACTTTCTTCACACAAAGTAAGTCCTAAGCGTGGCTATAAATTGTAGTCATTTAGTTTGAGGACTGTCTGTTCTTTGGGTTGTAGTGTCCATGACAGGAACTCTTCCTCCACCAGTCTTTGAAAAGGACTTCAAGGTGAGGCAAAAAGAAACCTTTAAACACGCTTCATCCTTCATCACTTTATGATAGGGGCTCACTGTTTGACTTCCTAAGAGTCCTTTTCTGAGGAGGGCAAAGGATTGTAAAATGAAGAGTTGGGTCCTGTCCTTTCTCCAAAAATCTGACCCTTTCTTGGCAATCCTATGGCTGTTAGGCTTACGGTTTTCCTCAGAAACCATTCTTTTGGTCAACTCTTTTTGAGGTTTCCAACATTATTACTGTGAGTGGTGTTGGCCAGTATGAATTTGCACATAAAAAGCTTAAGTAACCTTCCATTTTGGTTTCTAATTTTTGTGTTT